GCGCAGCCCCACGTTGGCTCCATGCGCCAAGTAGAGAGCCACGTGCTCCTCCAGGCCGCGGGCCGCCGCCACGTGCAGGGGTGTCATCTCGCTGTCCCTCGCAGCCGCATTGACAGTAGCTCCTGCCTCCAGCAGCAGCTTGGCGCACCTGGGGGCAGGGCACAAGGTACCAAGGCGAATCCTGAGGGGCCAAGGCCTGGCCTGAGAACCCCTCTGTCGTCCCTTACCCGCTTTCTTCCCACCCCCTGCACCTGAAGGCGAACCTGGTGTCCGCCATCAGACTCACAGAAGGCCCCTGACAGACGGAAGAGCTGGAAGGCCCATGGACGTCACCAGGCGCGTCTTCAGTTTTCACGTGAAAAACCAGCCCAGAAAGAACTCAGACAGCCAAGGACACAGCACATTAGTGGCCACCTGGGATCCGGTACTCACTGCCTCAGACAGTCCCCCCAAGTCTAACCTGACTCCCCAGTCCCACTGGGAGCTCAAGGCCTGGTTGAGTCATTTGTGAGTGTAGAGCACACATACACAAAATGGAAAACCCACGACTGTGTACACTATGAAACACAGAAAATTAATGAGTGTGAGTCCAAAAGAAAAAGTAGAGACCCTAATATTTTCTTCCTGCCTCCCAACCTGAAGACCACCCTTCCAGACCAGCCACACCCACTCCAACAAAAGAAGGCACTTGGGGACCCACCTACCCCACTTTCCTCTAAAGAAAACAAATAGCCCAGCCTGTGTGGCTCAATGGTTAAGTGTCAACCTATAAACCAGGTGGTCACGGTTCGATTCCCGGTCAGGGCACATGCCCAGGTTGTGGGCTCGATCCCCAGTGTAGGGTGTGCAAAGGCAGCTGATCAATGATTCTCTCTCATCATTGATGTTTCTATCTCTCTCTCCCTTTCCCTTCCTCTCTGAAATCAATGAAAATATATTTAAAAACAAACAAGCAAACAGAACCAGACAACAAAAAGCAGATTTTAGGAAGCGCACATTTTTCAGTCTTCTAGTTCCTGGAAAAAATTATAGGCCAGAACACCATACAGGCAAATATTCATTATCAACCACCGTGGGGTAAACCAAATACACAACAAACAAAATTAATGATGAAACTACATTAAGAGTAATTTAGAATTAAAAAGCCTGAATGAAAGCCACTGGAACTCAGGAGCAGATCCATCAACTCCAATGAAACCCTGATGACCAAGTGTCCTTCTCCCAAATTTCAGCTCTCCGTCAGTGCGCATGCTCAGTGACTAAGAGTTGAGTAGCAGCCAGTTATCCATAACTACTGAATTTATTTCCTCGGTAAATTTAATCATGGGCTAAACTTTGTTTCCAAATACTAAATTTAACACTGAAAAGCTCACTCAGTAGGATTTCAGTAAGTGAAACTATTTTCCCTTCTTTTAAAAGGATAAAGTCTGCTGGAAAGTGTACCACGTGCCCATAAGAACTCAAGAAAGAGCGGGAGAATTTGGATCGCTCTGGATCCATCACTGATCTAGAGCTAAGCAGGAGAGAGGTTCCCAGCATGTGGGCCATGGAGTGTCTCCTAGGAGCCCTTGAGTCTTTTTTTTTAAATTAATTTCAGACAGGAAGGGAGAGGGAGAGAGAGAGATAGAAACATCAATGATGAGAGAGAATCATTGATTGGCTGCCTCTTGCATGCCCCCCACTGGGGATTGTGACCAAAACCTGGGCATGAGCCCTTGACTGGAATTGAACCCGGGACCCTTCAGTCCGCAGGCCGATGCCCTACCACTGAGCCAAACTGGCCAGGGCTAGATCTTTCTTGATGCCTACCTCAAAACAGCTCAGAATTTGGCTACAGTGGGTTCACAAGGAATAAGAGAGACTGCAGTTGGAACAGGGTTGTCCCAAAAAGCAAAAGGGGTTTTGCCTTCAGGGCTTAGCTGATGTGATCTTGGACAAGTCACTAAACCTTTTGGAGGCTCAGTTTTCTCATCTGTAGAATGAGACCTGTCTCCTAGGTTGTTGTGAGGACATACGTATATGAGGTGCTTCCCCTTTTTCCAGGCCTTGAGCTTCACACACACACACCACACACACACACACACACACACACACACCCTCCCCAAACCATCCCAAACCCTGAGCACCTACTGTAAGGACTCAGGCGCTGTACAGAGGTGCAAGGGGGTTGTGCCTTCCTCAGACAACACATTGGCTTTGGCACCGAAGGTCAGCAGCAGCCGCACACAGTCCGAGTGGGCTTGGGCACATGCCTCGTGCAAGGCAGCCCGGCCCCCAACCCGGGCATCCAGCTCAGCTCCCTGCCGGATGAGGTGGCGGGCACAGTCGGTATAGCCTCGGGCCGCAGCAATAGTGAGGGGCACTGTCTGCTTGGTCTTGGGGGTCAGTACCCAGAACCCTGTGGAGAGCAGACATATTGGGGGGAGGGGTGAGACCCAGAAGCAGGGCAGACGGTGGTGAACAGCTGATGCTAGTTTTCCTGCTGTACCTCTGGCTGAGCACAAGCTCTGTGCCAGGTTGTACCTGTGGAGAGGGGCTCACTCAAGCCCTGATTTGGGAGTAAATCAGAACAGCCTTTTAGAACAATTTGGCAGTCTGTAACAAAGCGTAGTAGGTGTGTCATAGAAAAAAATTACTTGCTCTTTAAAACCATAAGGGCAACTAAGAAGGGTGAGTTCTGTGAAGGGAACATCTGGGTCTTTGAGCTGCTGATGGAGTTCTTGCCTCTTTTGGTTCACTTGGGGCTCTGGCGTTGGGGATGGGAGAGTTATGAACAGGAGGTCCTGGAGCTGAGCCTGGGGGTGGCCAATGCGCAGAGCTGAAGGAGCCACGAGTTTGGAGTTCTGGGACACTTCTGGGGTGGGGACGGTGGGGGATGAAAGTGAGGGTAGAAGCAAGGGGGGAGGGGGAGGGGAGAGTGAGAGGTGGGGATGGGGAAAGGAAGAGTGGGGAGAGTTTGTTCATGGGACTGGTGTTGGATCCAAATTGAAGAAATGGCCAAGGACTTGTCTAAGGGACATAGATGCCTAATACCCAACAGTAAGTTATTATGGATTATGGTGAAGTAAGTCCTGGGTTTCCCAACGTTTGGATAGAGCATGCCTTATTTATTATTAGAATTTAAATAAGGCCAAGTGCCATTTGAGGGATGATGGACATGCTGCAGGATGAGACAGGGATGCCCTGGGCAGGGTCACATCTCTATTAGTTGAAGCCAAACAGGAATTTGGAGCCTGTGGTGACTGTGAGAACATATGCTCGCCAAGGATTTTGAACCCCAAATCCATGGGTGGGGTTGGAGGCAATCTCTTTTTTTTTATTCCTTCCTTCCTTCCTTCCTTCCTTCCTTCCTTCCTTCCTTTTTTCTTTCTTTCTTTCTTTCTTTCTTTCTTTCTTTCTTTCTCTCTCTCTCTCTCTCTCTCTCTCTTTCTTTCTTTCTTTCTTTCTTTCTTTCTTTCTTGAGAGAAACATCAATTTGTTGTTCCATTTATTTATGCATTCATTGGTTTATTCTTGTATGTGCCTGACCAGGGATTGAACCCAAAATATTGGCATATGGGGATGAGGCTCTAACCAACTGAGCTACCCGGCCAGGATGGAGGCAATCTCTTGTCACTCAGACAGGGCAATTTCAATTGAGGTATTTGGTTTACAGGGGACAAACCCTCTGGTCAGAATAGATCCTGATCTAGTTTGAAAATCAGCTGGCAAGTACACAAAGATGTTCATCATATTGCTATTTAAAATAGTCTTTACAAAAAGGAACCCAGCCCGGCTGGTGTGACTCAGTGGTTAAGCATTGACCTATGAACCAGAGGTCACCGTTCAATTCCTGGTTGTGGGCTCAATCCCCAGTAGGGGACATGCAGGAGGCAGCCAATCAATGATTCTCTCTCATCATTGATGTTTCTCTCTCTCTCTCCCTCTCTCTTCCTCTCTGAAGTCAATAAAATATATTTTTAAAAATCATTAAAAACATATTTTAAAAAAAGGAACCCAATCTCTCCAATCTATTTGGGGGCTAGTTATATAAATCACGGCATCCCCATACAGGAGAATTTATGCCCCTATATAACATATTATGTTGACTTATGGTTATTGACATGTTATATGAAAACATCAGGTTAAAAATAGCATGTGGATTATAATTTCATTCTGTGGAAGAAAAATATTCGTGTGTGAATATATATTCATAAAAATTGCATAAGAATATATTGTATTCTTATGTAATATGTTAATATAACTAATTTTGATAAAACATACAAACCACTAACCATGCCTCATCGCTGTTTAGCAGGGAACTGGAACGGGCAGTGGGAAAGGATAGCATAGTTCATGGTCTGGAGGGAGGGGTTGGGGCTGAGACGCTCCCCCCTCTCCCCACCCCCACCTCTTCCCTCTTCCTCCTCTTCTGCCCACACCTGCTGCTCCCTACCCTGTTCAGGCGACCAGGCCAGCTGGTTGCTCTCAGTCTCCACAATCATGTTGGCGGCATCTTCGTCTTGGAACAGGGCTTGGACCTGTTGCAGGTTGCCGGAGAACAGGGCATTGTGGACCGCTGGGTCTCGGCAGGAGCGGCGAGGCCTAGTGAGTCGGGCCAGAGAACTTGGGGGGCACCTTTGGCTCCGGCAGAGCTGGGCTGCTGCCCTGCGCCTGTCCTCCCACTCCAGCCACTCCCGCTGCAGGCGGAGAGCGCGCAGCGTGGCGGAGGTAAAGGGGAAGGTCCCTTCTGCCATGGGAAGGGGCCTGGGGCCTGGTTAGCGGCAGGTGGGCAGAGCCCAGTGACTACCACCCTTGCTGTGAGGAGCCACCCTGTCCCTCCCCCGTGGCCCAGAGAGCGCAGCAGCTGAGACTATAAATAGGCCCTGGGATCGCTGGTAAACACAGTTTGCCCAGAGTCCTGATCCTGGTGCAGAGGTGTTGGGCCAACCCCTCACCCACCCAGGGGTAGGGCCAGCCCCTGCCCCTGCCCCTGCCCCTGCTGATACCCTCCAATTAGGTAGCAGGCCCTCAAACAAGGCCATCCCTGCACCCCAGGGTCCACATCCTCCCATCTCTTAGGAGTGAGCGCCTTGGGTTGGTAAGGTCTGAGGTGACAGCGAAGACAGTTGTGAGCCTCTCCCCACCCTCATAGCAGGGACAACATGGTCTATAGCAGGGGTCCTCAAACTTTTTAAACAGGGGGCCAGTTCACTGTCCCTCAGACCGTTGGAGGGTCGGACTATAGTTTAAAAAAAAAACTATGAACAAATTCCTATGCACACTGCACATATCTTATTTTGAAGTAAAAAAACAAAACGGGAACAAATACAATATTTGTATTTGCATGTGGCCCGCGGGCCGTAGTTTGAGGACCCCTGGTCTATAGAAACTACCTTCAGTGAGTCCCCCCACCACACCCCACCCCACCCCACCCCAGCTCCTGAAAGGGCTCACATGCCTGCCTAAGGGCCAAGGGCTTGACCTTGCAACTCTGGGGACTCCAGACCAATGACACCTGTAAGCCAGGAACCTATTCACTCTCAGGAGAAAGTGGCTCTGCTTCCCGGAGCCTCTAGGGGGAGGACTGAGGCCGTGAAATAACATTCGCTGATGCGGTGGCAAAGCCAGGCAAGGGGAGGCAGGAGGGATGCCAGTCCCTGCATCAGAAGGGCTCCTCAGAAGCGCAGCTGCAGGCGGGCTGGCCTAGCCCCAACCTGCCTTGGCTGCCGTGGCTAGTCTGCCTCCTCAGCACTGTAGGCTCCTTCCGGCTCCTCTGCCCCTGCACTGCCTCCCCTCCCTGGTTCGGCAGCAGCCCTTGCTCAGTCATCTCTGACTTCTTCCTCTCCCTGGTCCCCTCACACAAAGGAGTTCCAGCTCCCATCCCCACATTGTCAGTCACCATCTCGATGTCTTTAACCTGGGCCAGCCCAGCCTCCTACCAGGTGTGTCTTCCTCTGGCCACCACCCCTCTGCTTCACTGCCCGGATGGAATGAACTAACTAAAACGGTTAATTCCTAGCTTGAAAACTTCTGCTGACTTCTAGCACCTCCCCTCTCCAACTAAGCCCCTGTTCCTTCATTTGGCCTCACACCACATGGCATTCTCATCCTGCTCCTCACCCTTCCCTGACATTCCCTCTTCTTGGAATTCTCTTCTGACTCTTTCCTTAAAGTCCAACTCAAAGGTCACCTGCTCTGGGGGACATCTCTGCAGCAGCGCCGGGTCCCCCACTCCTCCAGTTCCAGCCACTCCCAATCCACGCACTTGGTAAAGCACCTGTCCCATCTGCCGTGCTGGATGTGGGCTCCAGAGGAGGCTCTGAATTTATTCAGTTAGGTTTCTGGTCCCAGCAGGGCCTGGCACACAGTAGGTCTTGACATGGTGTTTAGGGGCACTTGGCACATAGCAGGCTGGCTTCTTATGTGTAGTGCATTGACTGAGGGCCCCTGTTCTCTGCCAGAGCAAACACTCATCAGCCTGCCCAAGTGGGTGGCAGCAGCCGGGGCTGTTTCCGGCACTGCCTTTACCCTGCTGTTCACCCACTCTGGCCCCAGCTTCTTGGTGGTATTCCAGAGTGAGGGATCCCAGAGGAGGAATGAGATCATGCACAGCGAGGGCTTAGCGATCCTCAGAGAAAGGCGCCTCTATAAACACAGCAGTGATTAACCCTGTTGGAACCCATTCAGCGTTTTAATTGCCCCACCAACGGCCTGGACTGAGTACCCACAGCTGGGTTCCCAGGGTTGGGAGTTGGCAAGGCCAGGTGGGGCCAAGAGGGGCCAAGGTGGGGTGGGCGTCCCCTCCCTTGTGAGGTGCACAACAGTCATGGCCTGTGGGGCCCACGATTGTGCTGACCTTTCCAGCCTCTCTGCAACCTTCTTGTCACACAGGCCTGGAGGTGCTCTGGCTACAGCTCAGTCCCCAGTGACACCATGTGTCTGTCTCCTGTCCTTCGCCTTAATTTCCTAAGGGCCGAAAAACTGTCCTTAAGGTTAACTTCCCGAGACCTATACTTCAACCCACACATGAGCTCAGAGGGAGCCCAGTTCTACTGGCAGGAGCAGTGCCAGGTGACGGGACACCCAGCCTGCCTTCTTGGAGCTCAGAACCTGTGGGGAGATGAAGCACACCAAGAGAAACCAGGACATCAGCCAGGACTGTGAGCGGTAGGGGGCTGAATGGGGAAAGGCACTGCAGCCAGGGGTAGGCGGTAGTTTAGGTGCATGAAGGCCACAGATCTAAGCTACAAAGGCAGAGCTGGGGAGTTAGCAGTGGGTAGAAGAGAAAGACGTGCAGGTAGGAGGACCAAATGGGAGTGCGAAGGGGCAAGGGTGCTGGTGGATTAGTCCTTTCTTGCTCCTGGGCTTAGAACACAAAAGCCTTCCAGAACAGGGCCCCATTGCAACCAGCAGCTAGCTGAGCATGGAGTTCTTAAAGCACTTGTTCACTTCAGTCTTGAGGGAGGATCCATGGGATCAGCCCCTTAGGGAAAAGGGATATTAACACCTCCCCCCAGAACAACAGTGAGCCCAGGAGAGGTCCCTGACTCAGCTTAGTGGAGACAGGTGGAAACAGGGGAGGCTGGTGGTCAAACTAAGGTATTTTTTAAAAATATATATTTTTATTGATTTCAGAGAGGGCGATAGAAACATCAATGATAAGAGAGAATCGTTGATTAGCTGCCTCCTGCTGTTGGAACCCATTCAGCGTTTTAATTGCCCCACCAACGGCCTGGACTGAGTACCCACAGCTGGGTTCCCAGGGTTGGGAGTTGGCAAGGCCAGGTGGGGCCAAGAGGGGCCAAGGTGGGGTGGGCGTCCCCTCCCTTGTGAGGTGCACAACAGTCATGGCCTGTGGGGCCCACGATTGTGCTGACCTTTCCAGCCTCTCTGCAACCTTCTTGTCACACAGGCCTGGAGGTGCTCTGGCTACAGCTCAGTCCCCAGTGACACCATGTGTCTGTCTCCTGTCCTTCGCCTTAATTTCCTAAGGGCCGAAAAACTGTCCTTAAGGTTAACTTCCCGAGACCTATACTTCAACCCACACATGAGCTCAGAGGGAGCCCAGTTCTACTGGCAGGAGCAGTGCCAGGTGACGGGACACCCAGCCTGCCTTCTTGGAGCTCAGAACCTGTGGGGAGATGAAGCACACCAAGAGAAACCAGGACATCAGCCAGGACTGTGAGCGGTAGGGGGCTGAATGGGGAAAGGCACTGCAGCCAGGGGTAGGCGGTAGTTTAGGTGCATGAAGGCCACAGATCTAAGCTACAAAGGCAGAGCTGGGGAGTTAGCAGTGGGTAGAAGAGAAAGACGTGCAGGTAGGAGGACCAAATGGGAGTGCGAAGGGGCAAGGGTGCTGGTGGATTAGTCCTTTCTTGCTCCTGGGCTTAGAACACAAAAGCCTTCCAGAACAGGGCCCCATTGCAACCAGCAGCTAGCTGAGCATGGAGTTCTTAAAGCACTTGTTCACTTCAGTCTTGAGGGGGGATCCATGGGATCAGCCCCTTAGGGAAAAGGGATATTAACACCTCCCCCCAGAACAACAGCGAGCCCAGGAGAGGTCCCTGACTCAGCTTAGTGGAGACAGGTGGAAACAGGGGAGGCTGGTGGTCAAACTAAGGTATTTTTTAAAAATATATATTTTTATTGATTTCAGAGAGGGCGATAGAAACATCAATGATAAGAGAGAATCGTTGATTAGCTGCCTCCTGCACACCCCCTACTGGGGATCGAACCCACAACCTGAGCATGATGGTCAACTACTGAGCCACACTGGCCGGGCCAAAGTGGGGTCTTTACCACACCCCCTCATCCATGAGTTGAGAGAATCATCCTTTCTTCCCTTTTTTCCAGGAAAAGAAAACAAAGTTGGCAACTTGGTACCATTAGACCTTTTACACTGCACCCATGTCCCTTGTGCAACTCTGGTCTAAAAGGTGGTATAGAGAAGCTACAGTGACCAAGAGTTGCTTGACAAAATAAATAAAGTAGTATTAGGTTATAATCCAAAGCATAGAATAAATACCCATGAGTCCATACTGATATAAATGAATGAATAAAAAATGAGGGATAGGTCATTTCAAAAAGAGCTTATGGGACCCAAACCAGGAACTCTTAACGCTGTGACCTAAGATTTAAGTTCTCCACAGGATGTAACAGACACTCAATAGTGCTATGTTTTCCTGAGGAGATATAAAATTTAGCTGCTCATATCAATGATTACTGATGTGGGAAAATCAATGTTTTCCAAGTTTAAAAGAAAAAGAGGGAGAATAGGCCAATCACCCATGCAGAAGAATTCCAAATAATCTATATGAATACTCTTCCCTTAAGGAGGTAAAGTATGACTCCTCATGCCTTGTGTGTGGACTGCACACTGTGACTTCCTTCCAAAGAGGACAGTACGGAGAGGGAGAAGGAAGCAGGGTAACTTTACAGTGGACAAACCTGACAAACCCTCCCTCAGCCAGGTGATCAAGGCCAACATCAACCCCTGCCATGATGTGATGAGAATAGCACATTACCTCTGTGGTCTTCCTCCAAAAACATATAACCCCAGTCTAATCATGAAAAAAAAAAAACAGGCAAATTCCAGCAGAGGGACACCCTATAACAGTGATGGCGAACCTTTTGAGCTCAGCGTGTCAGCATTTTGAAAAACCCTAACTTAACTCTGGTGCTGTGTCACATATAGAAATTTTTTGATATTTGCAACCATAGTAAAACAAAGACTTATATTTTTGATATTTATTTTATATATTTAAATGCCATTTAACAAAGAAAAATCAACCAAAACAATGAGTTTGCGTGTCACCTCTGACACACGTGTCATAGGTTCGCCATTACTGCCCTATAACATAACATGCCTGAGCCGCT